CTGGTGCGTCTGTGGGAGGGCGGGCTGCCCCGCTGCCCGCAGCGCGGGGTTGGGAGCCGCCGTGGGGCCGGCAAGCGGGGCCGTGGTGAGGGCGGGTGTCCCTGACGCGGTGCCTCCGTTGGCCTGGGCCTGGAGCAAGGCGCGAGGGCAGAGAACCGGCCTGAAGACCTCTGTGAGGCCCCTCAGTTCGAGGCCTGAGCCAGGGTGTTCTGCTGCTCTCACCCTGGCTGCAGCAGCTGCACACCCAAGTTGACGTGGGGTCTGCCAGAGCTGATGGTCACTGTAAGGCTTGAGCTGTGATTGCAGCGAATGCCTGTGGAGCAAAAGAGTCTATAATCTGAGCACAGGGAGGAAAGGTTGGTTATAGGATTATAGAATCATTTAGGTTGGAAAAGACCTTTAAGATCATAAAGGCCAACCGTTAATTATGTTCCATTTTATATGTTTTGACTGTACACATGTAAGAGTTTGGCTATACTTTATCCTTCCAGAAACCATAGCAGGAAAATTGTGCTTTAGGGACAGTGCAGAATGTATTTTGTTCTTTCTTTATCCGTCACTTGTTTTTTCTGCGTAGGTGAGCAGTGAGTATTGATATGGACAGTGTTTCCTCAGGCTCTTCTCTACAGTTCCTTGCCAAACTGCTTCGTGATGCTCAAGAATCAGATGATGATGATGAACATGTGGTGAGTCTTTCATAGGAAATGCTTCCTTTACATGTTGTACCATAGCCTAACCTTGTTAACTGAGGAGAAGCAAATCTCTCTTTTCCCAGAGTGAGGAAAAAGAGAATGAAAACCTTAGAAGGTTTTGGACTGACTGAAACAGCTAGGAGATACTTTTAGGGTAAAATGCTTTTGAGGGAGAGAATAAGGAAGATGTCCCAGGAAAACAAGGGGAGATTGTGACTGCAAAATGGGAGGGAGATTTAATTTTTCAGCCTGAAGGAAATGAGAACATGTAGTTGAAAGAGGTTTAGATACTTTAGACTTCCCCCTACTTTTCCCTGAAGTCTGCCAGAGATGAAGGCAATTACAGCTAAACACTTCATATAAAGGGAAAAAAGTTGCTGCTCAACTTCTGAGTAAAGACTAAAATATCCAGAGGCGACTGAGTGTACTAATTCTGTGTGTCAGGTGTTGAAGAACTGTAGAGATAATTGGTCATTGAAGTACAATAGATATGTTGGTGATTGTAGAATAGGGAAGGGTTGAGTAATCATTCTAAGGTGAATGATCTGAATGATTAATGAAAGAAATATCTTTCCATTCTTCTATATCAATTCATCTCAGGACTAGATGAAAATCACAGCTTTTGGAAAACGTATGTTGTTCCTGCAATATGCAGCTGCTGCTTTTATCTAGGCATGCATGTGTGCTGAGGAGAAATATCCCAGGAGAGCCACAGGTGCCAACAGTCACAATATAGAAGGCCACTGTGAAGGCTCAAGACTTTCCCAAGTCTGTTAGGATTTCGAACAAGTCATGTTATGACGTGGATAATAAAAATGGCGAATGCCTCAGTGTTCCTCCAAATCGCTCTCCAACAAAGAGCCAGGTGGCTGACTGAGCGGTTGTGGACTAATAGTGGCAATGATAGCAATATTTGGGATAAAAGGGGTGCATATCCCTTGAAATTTCCTTTCAGTAGGTGGTTAAAGTGCCCCTTCACAATCTAACTACCCTTCAGCTGTTTAATGCCTGCCTTTTAAAACTGGCATTATTGCTGTACATCTTTGCAGTAAACATCCTTATTTTAAAAGAATTTGTTTACATCTGATTAATAAAATGAATGACACTTCAGAGACAGAAATGAAAATTGCCACAAGGGATGTCAATTAAGTCTGAGTCAATCTGGGTAAATTGAAATCTTTATTTTGATTTAATTTAATGTTCTGTGCATATGAGGCACTTTTATCAAACCAAGGAATCTTCATATATAGAGAAATGCCTCGCATTGGTCTATTAGCACTAAATTGATTCATAATTAGAGGAAAATGTTGTTGCCTCATATGATCTCTACTGTCAAAAGGAGTCCAAATGCTGTGTTGTGGTTTTTACAAGCACCCTTGTTTTCCTGCAATATTTTCATGGCAGACAAAACATGGAAATTTTGCCAAAATGCCATAGAAACTAATACTCAAGAAGAACATCTGTCTGTAATACTGTGCTTCTGGGAGTCCTGCTTAAACCCAGTGTGTCAAGGTCACTTTCTGCTGGGTGAGAGTGAAGAAGAGAGAACGTTCAGTAGTTCGGTCATGAAATTGTGGGATATTTTTTGGATTCTAGCAGGGATTCGTTTGACCTCAGATAACATTTTATATTTATTGACATTATCGTTGTTACTGATCTGGGATCTATGAAAATTGATTGAAAATTTGCCTTTTTTGCAGCCACGCTGTTCTGTTAGCGCCATGACTCCTGGTAGTATTGGACCAGTAAAGAAAGAGACCACTGGTAAGGAGGAGTGTTTGTGTGTTTTAGCATTCAGTCCCATGTTAGCAGACTATAACAGCTGTAGTAAGTTACCACTGATGGGGTTTGCTTTAATAAGAGAGTGGTTACTGACCTTTGAGATGGAAATAGCATTACATTTTTACAATTACACCGTAAAATTCTTCTTTTTCCTGAGAGGTGAACTGCAAAATAGACACAGAGAAGCAGAAAGGGTAACTCCAGAGCACAGCAGCCTCAAGTGGTGATGACAAACAAAGTACAGAGCACAGCCTGGTCACAGACTGAGGGGAATCATAACTGAGCAGCAAAAAGCTCCGTATAAGTACTCTCATGGAATTGTTAATGCTCACTTAGAACAAAGAAGGAAGATGGACTTCTAAGTACTCACCTGAAAGGATCTTCATGGAGTAAACTGCATGGAACTGAGCCTATGCCTATGAGGAGGAAGAGCTATGAAGTGTACCGTGAAACACAGTCATACCATATTCCCCTCAAAAGGTTCACAACCCTGTTTAGACCACACATGGGAAGAAATAGAAGCTTTGTTCAGTGCTGCCTTCAATAGACTGAGAGACATTTTTCAGTTACTCTCCTTCCTGCATCCAGTTCTTTGCCTGGAAACTCTGGACAATTACATGTTTTACCTGATTCCAGGTGTTCTGGCATCATATAGAAAGGCAGACTCTCAGACAATGAGAACAAATATCTTGAGGGTTCCTGAATTTGTGTCAACACCTTGGACTACTCAGGAAAGAAAGGAATACAAGTTTAGTCTTGGCAAAGTTAATGTAAAGTTCTTCCTGGAGCTAATGCTGTCACTTTATTGGGCAGCTTAGTTATGAACCATAAGAAAGGTCAACAAGGACCAGGATGAGCGTAGCAGGAAAGGGACTGTGGCAAATATAACAAACAGGGTATTCTTGCTTGGGATTCCAACAATAACTAGAGATTCTACTATAAAAACCTTCAAGTTGCAGATTTACCAGCTTACTAAAAACCATATTTTTCCATGTAGGACAGGCATAAACCATAGTATTCTGCCCGTGAACTTTCATGTGTCTTCAGTACCTTATCTGGGCTGTGCTCAATAATTAATGGTAAGAACTGGATTTCTATGTGAGGAGGAGGTGGTCCTTTTGTAAATGACTCTGCTCACTTAGAAATCTCATGTCAGGGGGCTTGGGGAAGATTAATATTTCATACTTCTACACTTTACCCATTTTGAAGTGCTAGATATTTTATGCCTGAAAGGAGGTTTTCCTTGACATAGAGGTTGGGTAAAGGAGACTTAAGAGAAAGGAAGAGAAAACATCCTCCCTCTGCAAATTCTCATTCATAAGATACTGAGGTGAAGGAGACCGTAATCATTAACTAGAATGCTTTTAATTCAAAGTTTTTTTCTGAAGCCTAGAAAAAATCTAAGTTTTCAGCAAACCTAGAGGAACAGAGAGATTCAAAAATATGACAATGTGATTTTTCTCATCACTTACAGGTACTTTTCAAGTGAAATCTGAAAACAGCAAAACTATTTGGAACACAGAGGAGGTCCCAGAAGGATCTGAGTTTGATGATACCTGGGACCCTAGAGAACAGCCAGAGTAAGTGAGCTGAGACTGCCTGCATGGGCTTTACGTAGCATTAATGGAAATATGAGTTAAACAGCACCTACTGCATTTGAGTAAAACAGCCATCTGATAAGCTTGTGTCATGGAAGGAAAAAGGAAGGTTATTGGTGTTGCATCTAAAGCAACATGTGAGGAGTGATTTTAACCTCACCCTTGGAAAACTGCTGATCTCATAACAGAAATGTAGAGTTGGTTTCTCCCATGATAAGATTACTTGCAGTGTCAGATAGTTGTATAAAGTGAGATTAGGAGGGGAAGTAGGCCAGCAAAACAATTTACTAGCTTTCAAATATGCCATTTGTGTGAAATACCTGTCTTTTCCCATTGCAACCAAGATGCATTCATTTTTCATACTCATAAATTCATAAAGTACTCCGACTTATATTTGCATTTCAAAGAATTAAGCTCTTTAGAGACAAATAGTACTGCAGGAAGGAAGGCTATATGCAGGCAGTTTTGAACTTTTAAATCTTGTCATTCAATTTTAGTCTGTCAAGGGACAGCCTAAAACCAGCGTCTTTTCCCTTACTCATAAAAAAAAACAATAACAAAACCGTTCTTTAAATAGATACAATCAGGCATGTTAGTTGTAGTTTGTAGAGGTCCGAAAGCCTTCAGGGTCAATCCACAAAGCAGCCTTTGCATTTCGAATCATTGTGTTTTGATGCCATATCCTGGAGTGCTGAATCCTGGAGCAGATGGACTGAAGCCCATGAAGCTGCATATTGTTCTCTAGTTTGTAGTCCAGAATCCTAATTTTTCCCTGCACGTAAGTCATGCCATTAGGTGTTCAATTTCCTGATCTAAACACAGGACTGAGACCCACCTGAACTTAGCCTCAGCATTTCTGAAAATGATTTGGCATACACCTATAGGCTCACATACAGTTGTTCTTGAAACTGTCACGTATGAGGTATAGAGCATGCTCTCTTTGTATTGTGAGCACAACGGAAGCTTTTCTCATGCCATTTTTTGACCCTTCCCCTCCATGCTGGGTAAAATGCAGTGCTTCTCTAGCCTCAAGCAATTATGACCTGTGTTGCACAGATGAAAGAGAGTATGAGTCTTTGTAACAGTTCATCAAATTGAATCAAGGAAAATGGCCCAAAAGGAAAACAGATGGCTAAAGAGGTGCATCCAGAGCTATTAGACAGATTTCTCATTGACTTAGGAATTATTACATACACATATGAACACTGGAGATGTGAAAAAGTTTCCATAGACTCTTTCCAACAGCTTAGAGAAGTGACTCACTCCACTTATTTTGCTCAGTTTAGTAGGAGTAATGTATGTTCCAAATACAATCTTTAGTTTGTATTTCCTCATTCATCAAGTATCAAGACCAAGGGAGTACATGATTCTACATTTTGTAGATGTGGAGGAGTAGAAAATAAATGTTGGCCGAACGCAAAAGAATTAAATTTTGACAAAAGAGTGTTATGCTCAGGCTGCAAGAATATGTTGAATGACAGAACAGAACACATGTAATTGTGACAGCATCCTTTTCAAATCTGTTTCCCAAGAGTCTGTGGTGTTTGACTAGATGACAAGAATCATATTCACTTAGGATGCATTTCCTGATCCTGCAAAGGCTGGTTAGTGAAGTAGAGGCAGCAAAGTGAGTGCATTAGAAGGTGGAGTGAATGATCTTCACCTGTGTTCTAGCTGACTCAGTCATGGCTCTAAACAGAAACCCAGTGCAGATGGGTTGAAGACTTGAAGGGAGACTGAAAAGAAGGAGAGACAATGCAATGAGGATATTTATGGTCCTCTGAGAAATACAGTCTCCTTTAGTCTTCTGCCCCTTCTCCAGTATTATTAGGCAACTACTCCTCTTTCTCAGGTATCAGATTTTATTCAAACAGTGTGTGGGAACAGAGGATGTCTTCTTTGGGATGAGCAGAAAAGACCCTTCCACAGCCTGCTGCGAAGATATGGTGGTGAGCTGAACCTATATCTCCCATGCCTTCTTTGTGCTCTTTCTCTGCTCTTTTCAATCTTGCTGCTTTCTTGAGAGACAGAATGTAAACACCAAGCTGTATTGCTGCCTTTGGCCTCCTGTGGGATTTTTTTGTAGTTCTTCAAGCATTTGTAGATGATATTTACACTTGCTAACCTGAGGAGCTCCTGTGTATCTCCTCAAGGACCTAGTGTAGTCAAGAGAATCTGTGCAAATGTATATGCCACATACAGACTTGAGGGAAATAAAAAGTAGCTCTAAGATGAAGTTTCATCTTGGACACAATTTTGGAGGGGAGAGCGGCTGGGAAAGAGATGGTTTTCATCTGCCTGCATTTATTACAAGGTGTGTGAGTCAGCAGAATGCTACAATACTGACAGTCTTTGAAGTTACAGGTATCAGATCTTGTCCTATTATTATATGATAGAAAACCTCCCTGCTTTCTGAACTTCAGGACAGGTAGAACTGCTGTGCAATTTTTCTAGTAGAAGCAAGCTGTCCTTGAAATACGCAAAGCCAAGGGGTTCTGCTGGCTGTCGAATACCTGTCAAGTACATTATCAGCTCAAGATTTTGAAGAAAATAGGATATCGATACACATCACTAAGCTATTGAAAGCAAGGATTATCACTGTCATATTTTCTCTGATACAAATTACCTACTTAGAATGTTGCTTTTTGACACTAGCATCAAAATATCCATGAAGATGAGATCTTTTAAAGCTTGCAGGGCTACATATCTAATCTCAGTTTTACCTCTGCCCATCATTTCAGATTAAAATCAAGCTGCCAGAGACAAGGTACTCAGACATCACATTAGATATCCAGGACAAGATTCTTGACCTTCGAACTCCGAAAAAGTAAGTGAAACATAATTGATAGAAGTACAGTTAATATCTTGTTTGAAAGGAGGTTTACCCAAGCCTTCAACTGAATGCTGTGTGGAAAGCAAAGCTAAAGATGAAGATCGGGTTATTAATTGCACATGAGAAATAGATAAAGACAAAAACAACCATAGTCCACCTGTAGGTGTATAGTGTGCTATCTTTGAATCTGTGATACTGTTCTAGCAAAAATAGCTTTAAGACAGATTTTGGCTACTTAAACAGCAAGGCTTCAAGGGCCCAAAATGTCTGGCAAAAAACTGCCCACAGTCTTGAAGGACTTCTTTGGAGTTTGTTTTCTAAATACTAATTTGTACAAATATATAACTGAAGGTGGTCAAAAATGTGCAGATACATTTTCAGAAGTTGAAAGCCAAATTGTGGACATATCCAGGCATGGATGCAGAGATGGAAATGTTACGAGGTTTCCCTAAAGAGATTTCATTTGAGTTCTTTTTTTATTTCAAACCTACAAAGATAATCAACTGACTGATATACTCTCAGACTTCTCAGTCTTCCTCCATATTTCCCTCAGTGTGCAATTGCCCTGCCTGAGATTTCCAGATAATTCCCATGTCTGTTTTGCTTTAAGTCCTTCTTCACAATAGAGTGCTTTCAAAAGAAAGCTTAATCCTCTCTCTGGGCTGACTTGCTGCATTGAATGGGATGTGGGAAGATCCATAGGTGAATAACTTCCTGCAAATAAATTCAAGGTGCAGGCCGTGGATTAAGGCCGAAAGAAGTTCTGTCCCTAGTGGACTAACTATAGAAAAGCTACCTTTCTCACAGACAAAACCAGGCTGGGTCAGTTACCCCCTGCTTGGATTTAACCCAAAGATGCATCAGGAATGGAGAATGTTTGGAAGTGCTAGCTCTGAAACTGGAAAATCAGGAGGAATAATTGTTCAGCTAATGACCTGCAGAACCTATAGGTAGTAAGAGGTGGCTTACTGCAATACTGCAGATGTAGGAAAACCTCAGCATTCTTTTTCTTTTGTAATTCTATCTTTTTGGTGACTCAGATCTGCTGTTATCTTCTTAGTATCCAGCTGTCTCTAGTCACAAGCCTAACAAATAAAAAGTTTGCTGTAAATCTAATGGTTGCTTGGGTACAGCCTGAGCCAGTGCTGCTTTCACAAATATAAGTGTAAGTCTTCTCAGTATGAAAGAAACAAACAAGATTTGAAGTTCTACATACTGAAAAACAATGTACTCTCACAGGTGTGTAGGAGTGCTCAAAGGAACTGTTTCCAGCTCTGTAGTTCTGGGACTGATTCTAAGCCAAGCTGATTTTAGGGACTTCTCCAAATTATAGCAAATGGCTCCCTTCAGTAGCTGTGGTGCAAAGGTATTTCGGCTGTACCTCTTTCAACCATGGCTCCTACAAGACAGCTGAAAAGGTCTGAGAAAGAATCAGTGTGATTTAAACCCCAGTTTAAAGTAGCCCCCGTCTATGCTATCATGTTGTCTTGTTGGGCTTTATAGAGTTTGGCTGGGCAGATCTCTTGATCGTAAAGCATCCTTGATTCTGTTTGCACTGTCAATAGAGTGGAGGTCCAAGACTGGCCCATCATTCATATTGTTAATATATAAGCCTGGGATAAGAGGGGAAAG